TCGAGCGTCGTCTCGGTGGTCTTGCCTTCTTCGACGGTGATGACGCCGTCCTTGCCGACCTTCTCCATCGCGTCGGCCAGCAGGTCGCCGATCACACGGTCGTTGTTCGCACTGATCGAACCGACCTGGGCGATCTCTTCCTTGCTGCTGACGGCCTTGGCGACCGAGTCGAGTTGCTCACAGACGGCCTGGGCCGCCTTCTCGATGCCGCGACGCACGGCCGTCGGGTTGCTGCCGGCGACGATGTTGCGGGCGCCTTCCTTGAGGATGGCGCGGGCGAGGACCGTCGCGGTCGTGGTGCCGTCGCCAGCGAACTTGCTGGTCTTGTCGGCGACCTCGTGGACGAGCTTCGCGCCCATGTTCTCGAAGGGGTCTTCGAGTTCGATCTCTTTGGAGACCGTGACGCCGTCCTTGGTGACCGTGGGGCCGCCGAAGGACTTGTTAATGATCACGTTGCGGCCGGTGGGGCCCATCGTCACCGCCACCGCGTCCGCGAGCTTATCGACGCCGGCGATCATCTTCGCCCGCGCGGCGTCGTCGAACATGAGTTGTTTGGCCATTTTGGCTCCTATCTGGTTTCAGCCGGGGACGACTGGAGAGCGTGTTGGTGGACAGGGACGAGGGGATAAGGACGCGGGACGAGGGTTTACGGAGACAAGTTCCCTCGTCCCCTGTCCCTAACCCCTCGCCCCTACCGCCGTTAGGCGGTGACCTTCGCCAGGATGTCCGACTCGCGGAGGATCTTGTACTCGTCGCCGTCGACCTCGACCTCCGAGCCGCCGTACTTGCCGAAGATCACCTCGTCGCCGACCTTCACCGACAGCTCGCCACGCGCGCCGCTGTCGAGCAGCTTGCCGACGCCCACGGCGACGACCTTGCCACGCTGCGGCTTCTCGCGCGCCGAGTCCGGCAGCACGATGCCGCCAGAGGTGACCTCTTCGGCTTCCAAGAGCGAAACAACAACACGGTCGTCGAGCGGACGAAGCTTGATGCCTTTGGCCATGAATGGGTTCCTTTGTAACGGTGTATGTGTCGCTTCGGTGAAGCGAGTTGGTTATTCAAGCGGTTGGACGTTAGCTGTTAGCGATTTGCCACATGTCGGTCGAGTGAACGACTAACTGCGAATTGCTAACGGCTTCTTACATCATCCCGGGCATGCCCATGCCGCCCATACC